TGACGACATCATAAGCAATGAAGTCATGGTCACCAAGCAATGATAGAGGGGTGGCCCCAAAGTCCCTTTATTAACAAGCAGCTTGAAAGCACAGAGAGGTGTCTGCTGACATCGCCACTAGCACCTCTTCCACAGGCCTCTTCTGGAGAAGCTGAGTATGTTATGGCTAACAGTTTAGTGTCTAAAGAAGAGGCTGGTGTCCCAAGGGTGGGGGACCTGCTCCTCTAAGTGCTGGAGCAGACTTCGGCCACCCCAGGTGGACCCAGTCATGGGGTGAGGAGGAAACATTTTGAAGTAAGACCCCACTGGCCCCACACTGTTGGGTCCACCAGCATGGACCTTGTAGTGCAAAAGAGGCTGCTAGACTGTCATGGCTGGCCCTGCAATCATATCAATTAAGGATAGTCTCGCAAGGACAGGAGCAGTGGCACACACCTTTAATCCCAGCACTTGGGAAGCAAAGGCAGGCGGATCTCTGTGAGTTAGGGGCCAGACTGGTATGTGAGTTCCAGAACAGCCAGGGCTAAGCAGAAAAACCCTGTCTCAAAAAAACTCAAAACAAACAAACAAAGAAACCCAAATCAAACCAAAATGATCACTAACAACCCAACCAAGAAATAGCCCGGGTCAGGTTTCTTGAGAAGCTGACCCAGGAGAAGATGGAATTCCAGGACAAGGGAAAGATCTAGGTCTTTCTCCTAACAAAGGCTGACTTTGTCACTGTAGCTGACGAGGGTCAGGTGGCCAGGAGATGGACCTTCTCTACCCAAATGAGCTGAGCCTTCTGGGAACGTCTCTGGCTTTCCAGTGAGAGGCATTCTTGAAGTCATCAGAAACAGAAATGGAGCCTTGATGTCCAGCAGGTGAGCTCTGGGTTCCATGCAGGACTCAAGAGCCAAACAGTCTGGAAAAGTCAGAAGGTGAAATGACCATGAGGACAGGAAGGGGCTGCCACACAGATGGACGTCAGCTATCCCAGCACTTTGGAAGCTAAACAGGAGGACTACATGGTTAAGACCAGCCTGGGCTACATAACAAGGCACTGGCTAGCCTGAGCTACACAGCAAGGTGCTATCTCAAACACACTGTTGGGGATTATTTTCCATGAAAGTGCTTCACCGTTCTGCACTTTCTGAGCTAAAACATAACTGTTGGTTGGGCGAGGTGACTTAGTGAACAAAAGGAGCCCCCTGCCAACCTTAATGATCTCAGTTTGAGCCACAGGATCAACAAGGTGGAAGGAGAGAACCAACTCCTGAAAACTGTTCCCTGCCTTCCACAAGCACACCGTGTGACCTGTGTGCATCCCTACACAGACATTTAAAATAAGACAGAAAAAACCAAAACTCCTGTCGGCTGGACACTGAGGTACATGCCTGTAATCCCAAGAGGCATGCTAGCACACGCCTGACTGCCAGGGTATGAACTCAGATCCCTACTTGACTCTATCTGTAAAAGCCATTTCAGTGGTCACACTCATGTGTGTCTCAGGACTCACAGGTCTGAGGCAGATGCATCATAAGTCTGAGGGCAGCCTGGCCTACAATCAGACTCTGTCTCAAAAAGCTAAAAATAATAATAATAATAATAATAATAATAATAATAATAATAATAATAAAAATCAAATAGAGTGAAGGTAAAAAGCAGAAGCCAATGGTGAATCCTACCTGCTGGCTTCTACTAAGACTTCTGAGGCAGGAACAAGCAGTCTGTTGGACTTAGGGGCCACCATCTAGTACAGGTTTAACACAACATCAGGGGTGGGAGACACATGGCCAGATTGGACTTGGAGACCACCCTCCAACGCTGGCTTATTTTGGAAGCAGGGGTAGTCCTTGAGCATCAACTAGGGGCTGGCAGGATGGCTCAGTGGGTGCCCACTGCCAAGCCTGAGAATCTGAGTTTGAGCCCCAGGACCCACGTCATTGTAAACAAACTGAAAAGGGCAGGAGCAGGCAATGAGCGTGAGCACCAAGTGAGGCAGACTTACACGATCATGCAGAGCATCATGAACACATTCCACAGTGCGATGAAGATCCGGAAATACCTCAGGCTCAGTAAAAACTCTCGGATGTTGTCTCCTGCAAAGGCAGAGAGTATGGTCCAGGAGGCTGTCACCCAGCCCACTACCAAACAACTGAGGCAGCCCCTGACCAATCATTGTGGAGCACCAATCCCCAAAGCTTCTGATTGGAACTGGAAAGGGTACGTTACTCAAGTCTGTCCAATAAGGATCCTTCCTGAGCTGTGGGTCCTAGTTACCAGGCCCAGGTTGGCTAGACTGAGAATTTGCCAGCTCCAGACTTCGTGGCCGGACTCAGAGCACTGCATGCACCCCGGGACACATCACCTGCCTTCGCTCTGGTTTACCTCACTTTTTTAGGGTTTTTTTTTTTTTGTAAATGTTTTTTTGTTGTTTTGTTTTTGTTTTTAAATGGAACAGAGCATGTTTAAGTCAGAGGACAAACTGTCAATTCTCTCCTGGGGAACTGAACCTACACAGTCAGGCTTGGTGGCAACTGCCTTTGCATGTTGGGCCTCTCAGAAACTTCTGTAAATTGGGATTTTGAGACCAGGTCTCACTGTGGGGCTGAAGCTGGCTCCGAACTCCCATCACGACCACACTGGTCATGGAAAGGGTCTCTGCCATGCCACATCAACCCGTGCTTCCAGCAGCAGCACCACCTTCCTGACACCCACTTTCCCTGACCCCCACCCCCAGAACACCCTCTGAATCGCCCTGGGCTGAGTCCCACAGGGCAGGACCACTTTCTCTTTTTCTTGTTTCCCTTTGAGACACAGTTTCTCTGTATAGCCCTGGCTGTCCTGGAACTCACTCTGTAGACCAGGCTGGCCTCGAACTCAGAAATCCCCTGCCTCTGCCTCCCAAGTGCTGGGATTAAAGGCGTGCGCCACCACCGCCCGGCTAGGACCACTTTCTTTACCCACATCCTTACAAAGCAGTCAGTTTAGTGGTTGGCAATATGGTAGACACTCAATAAATCTGATGAACACAACATGGTGACATACTCCTGTCATTCAAACACCTAGGACGCAGAGGCAGGGGGATCAGGCATCCAAAGCTAGCCATGGGCCTACAATACCACATCTCAACAAAAGGAAGAAGAGAGAAAAGTGCAGGTTGGTGAGAGAGACAATAGGCGCCCCAGAATCGGACTGTGAAAGTGTTGAAGCTGGGCTCACTTCGGCAGCACATATAAAATTGGAACGATACAGAGAAGATTAGCATGGCCCCTGCGCAAGGATGACAAGCAAATTTGTGAAGCGTTCCAAAAAAAAAAAAAAAAGTGTTGAAGCTAAGAAAACATGCTTACCTGTGCTGGGTTCCCTCGATTCCTCCCCAAAACCTTGCGTGTCCTTCTTTTTCCTATAAAGAACAGCAGATAACACCAGCTTTCCGTGGAACATAAACACCATCGGATTTCCTGACCCTGACACCCAGCTAGGAAGGGCATGAACTTCAGCTCTGGCCCCGACTTGCTATGTGACCTGGGGCAGTGATACAACCCTCTGTGAGGCACTCTCAACCAACCTAGTCCACAGCTGGGTGTGCAGCCACAGACAGGATAGAGTGGTTCCAACAGCCAGAAAGACATTCTTGAGGGATGAGCCTGAGCCTGAGGCTCTTTGGAGATGCAACCAACCCGGGAACAGAGGATGCAGATATTTTTGTTTATTTAATATTAATTTGTAAGTGAGAGGAATAAGTGTGCCATGCCGCGTGGAGGTCAAAAGGACAACCCACAAGAGTTCTACCATGGGGGCTCCGGGAATCTGGCTCGGGTAGTCAGGCTTGGCGACAAGCACCTCTGCCCGCTGAGCCATCTCCGGGTCTAGAGTACAGATTTAAAGCCCGAAGAGTGATATAGAAATGTCAGAGCCTGGTAAAGCAGCGCGGAGGCGTGGCTAGAGGGAGGACTAGTGGGGCGTGGAGCATGCACAGGGCGTGGCTAGCCGTGACCCCAGAGTGTGGGCGGGGCTTGGCTGTGGGCCGGCCTGGCCGTCCCGGACACCGCCCGCGGCGGCCTACTTACAGTTTAAAGTTGAGCACAGCCCCGGCGTTCATCAGTAGCGTCCTGCGGAAGGACAGTAACAGTCAGTAAGGCCACCCCCACCCTGTCTGGCTGTGGTCGCTCTCCGACCTCTAATACCCCTCATTCATAATTACCCGAACAGCAGTATGTCTCCGATCATCCTTACAGCCAAGGCATCTGTTAAACCGGAAACGGAAGCTGTGATGAGGGGCGGAAAGTGGAAAGCGAACTGACCAATTCTGAATCAACAATGGTTGCTTCGAGGGAGGCTGTAGCATGATGTCACCTACAGGGCGGAGCTTAGGGTGTCCGCGTATGCGCAGTGTCTCGTGCCACAGCTGGTCCCTGCTGTTGATTCTGCTCTAGCGTTGGCTGGGCTGTGGGTTCGTTGTCTACAGAAATTGCGCTCTCGACCCCTGAGCCGCCCGGGAAAGACTTGGATACTTGAACTCCAGAAGGACTCCTGTTGGGTCCCCAAGGAGAACTGCGATCCTGGCTCAGAGTGCATAGAGTTAGGATGTCCCCCTGCCTGGGTTGTAACTCCCACGGACCTCCGAGTTCTGACTCAAGTAGCCCCATGGAGAAAGAGGGTCCTGACCGAACAGACCGTACAGAACATGAGGCCTGGTTTAAGGTCTACAGAGGATGGATCCTAACTTGAGGCGAGAGGGTTCTAACTCAGTGGACCCTAACACCACGGTCTGGGCTGGGGTCCACAAAGAGGAGGGTTCTGACTTGTGGAACCCCTCTTAGAGAGACAAAACCAAACAGGACATGAGGGTTGGGTTGAGGTCCCCTTGTGGGAGGCGGGGTTCTGACTTAGAAGACTTGCGCTCCTCAGGAATGAAACATATTCTTGGCTGAGATCTTCCGAGGGCACAGGCTTTGAGAGAAATAGCGGTCCTGAATTGGTTAGTCCCACAGGAAAGGGACAAGGTACTAACAAAGCAGATGTACAAGGACAGGATTCCCTCTTGTGTGCGCTGGATGCAGGGGATAGACCGTCCCTTTTTTGGCTCCGTCGAACGAGTTCTGACGTCCCTGCTGCCCGGCCCCTTGAGCTCCAAGGTGCTAGGCGTCCCCACCGCCCCTCCTCTCGGGAGGTGGGGGGAGAGGCAGGCAGGGGGCGGTGCCTGGCAGTGGGGCGGGTTCAGTGGCTAGGGAGCAGTCGTCGGGCGGCGGGGCGCGGGACGCACAGGGCCGGGGAGGCGCCCTCCATCGCCATGGACCTGATGTCAGCGCTGAGCCTAGGCGAGCTAGCGCTCAGCTTCTCGCGGGTGCCGCTCTTCCCTGTCTTCGACCTCAGCTACTTCATCGTCTCCATCATCTACCTGAAGTATGAGCCAGGTGAGTCGGGGGTTGTAGGAGCTACCAGGAGGGAGGTTGCCCATGGCTTGATGACGGAGGCAAGAGGAGGAGGCAGGCTAGATCCTGGGGCTGGATGGGGGAGGAGGCAGAGGCTGAGATCGTGGAGTGCTCCCACGCGCACGCAGTTGGAGGAGGGAACCCCGGAGACAGAGGCGCTGTGGAAAGGGGGCTGCAAATGAGGTGGGAGGGAAGGAGAGAAGAGCACTTGTTTACTGTTAGGAGGACAGGTGCTGCGGGATTGGGGTTGAGGGAGGGGGCGAGGAAAAGGCCAGAGTCAGGTTAGAGCAAGGCTTCCTGAACTTAGTCTTGGACAAGGGGGATTGGTGGTGGCGAAGGTTCCAAACCAAGGGTGGGACCTGCCCGGGTCAGATGTTCTGGACGTCAGCTGCCATGACCTCCCTTAACGCCCTTGGATTGACTGCCGGGCGACTATATAAGGACTGGCTGTGCTGGGGGCTGCGATCAGGTTCGGGGAAAGTGACACCCATGCCCCCTCTGTACTACATCTTTTGGCATCTTCTTCCCTCCCTTCTCGCTTGCCGGCTGGGCCAGCTCGGGCTTGGGATCCTTCCCACTTACCGAAACGGTTCCAGGACAGGGCAACTTTGGGTCAGCTCGCTCTCAAGAGTCAGAGGAGGATAGACCGTACTACTTTGATTTTTTAAAAAAAGAAAAGTTAATTACTTTTATTTATCTCTGTGTTGCGGATATATGTGGAGGTCAGAGGACAGTTTACGGGAGTCCCTGGTCGAACTCTGGTGGTCAGATTCGTAGACAAGCTCCTTTACAAGCAGAGTCATCTTGCTGCTACCGCACCCCTCCTCCAAACCTTCTGCTTTAATGAGGACAAATGTAGCTCACACCTATAACCCCAGAACGTAGGACATAGAGGCAGGAGGAAAGCAAGCTAATTCCAGGACAGCCAGGGCTATTGATGAATTCTTGTCCAGTTTGACTACAGACTATCTCAAAAACAAACATAAACAAACAAACAAACAAATGCCTCCCTAGAGTGTTCTATTTTTATACAAGTAAGCAAATGTGTCCTGTTTGTCTTCTGCAGTTTTAGTTATTCTACTGAACTTGCAAACTTAAGGGGCAGGAGAATTTCCTCCAGGAAAGCTAGGACACTTCTGTGGGTGGGTATGTAAATTAATTACTTTTGAGGTGACAAAACCAGATTCCTGTGTTTACTTAGGAATGAGGGAGGAGCTTCAAGATGACCCACAGATGGAAGAAAAAAATCAATTTTAAAAACAGTGTTCCTGATAATCTGGAAAGGGCCCATTTCCAGAGCTTTCTTGGATGAAATTGTATACTTGTCCTTACAAGCATAAATACATGCTCTTATGCAAACGGGATTATCGAGACTGTCAGGCATGCGTGTTGGGTCTTCCTTCCCCTTGCCCAAGCAACAATGCTTTGCTAGGTGAAGTTCTTGTTTGTGCTATTGTTTGGAGAACCTGGGTTTCTCATCTGGGGAAGAATTCCTGGTGGCTTCTGTGGAACCCTGCACACTCCAAGATCCACTGTGAGGGGATGGGAACCCCTGGAATGGACTTAGTATGGAAGTGTGCTGAAAACGGGGGTGTCTGTATTTTTATTTTTAACTCTTTTCACTATTTATTGTGGGGGGGGCGGTGAATGTGCTGGGACATGCATGCGTGCGGAGGGCACAGGACAACTTGACAGAGTTGTTCTCCCTCCCTCCCTCCCCTGTGTGGAACTCGGGGATTGAACTCAAGTAAAACTCACTGCCCCCCTTTATTTTATTTGTGTTTAAAAATATTTTCAGTTATTATCATTGTCATTATTAATATGTGTATGCCATACATGCCCCAGAGTACAAGTAGAGGACCAAGGACACGTCTGTCCTTCCACTTTGCGTGGGCTCTAGGGATGAGACTTGGGTCACCAGGCACCACTGGGAAGTAAGTGCTCTTACCCTGAACCATCTTACCAACCAAAAGCCAGGGTCCCACTGGTCACTCAGGCTAGACTCAAACTCTTTCCTCTTTCCTCAGCCTCCCCTGTGCTTGAATTCTAGATGTTCCATGCTCATTCTTGTCTAAATATCTCTGCTGGAGTGTCACAATAAACTATCTGTGCTGCAAATGTAGGAGATAGAATTTTCCAGAAGGTTTTCTTTTTATACTTTAGAACTTCATCAGTTCTTCAATCCTAGCTATAGATTAGATTTCCTGGGGTCTTTTAAAAGTCTGTTTCAGTTGGGCGGTGGTGGCGCACGCCTTTAATCCCAGCACTTGGGAGGCAGAGGCAGGCAGATTTCTTTTTTTTTGTTTGTTTGTTTTGTTTTTTGTTTTTTTTGTTTTTTGTTTGTTTTTTGTTCGAGACAGGGTTTCTCTGTATAGCCCTGGCTGTCCTGGAACTCACTCGGTAGACCAGGCTGGCCTCAAACTCAGAAATCTGCCTGCCTCTGCCTCCCAAGTGCTGGGATTAAAGGCATGAGCCACCACTGCCAGGCAAGGCAGGCAGATTTCTGAGTTCGAGGCCAGCCTGGTCTACAGAGTTCCAGGACAGCCAGGGCTATACAAAGAAACCCTGTCTCTAAAAACAAAAAACCAAAAAAAAAAAAAAATATCTGTTTCCACCTGGACATGTTGGTGCATGTCTCTAATGCCAGCATCTGGGAGGCAAAGGCAGAGGCAGTTGGATTTCTATGAGTTCCAAAAAGCTCTACCTGAACCTGGTACAGTGGTACCCACCTGTTGTCTCACCCACTCAAGAAGTAGAGGCAGAAGGATTGCAAGTTTAAGGCCAGCCTTGATCAGCTTAGCCAGATCCTGTCTCAAAATAAAATTAGAGTTTTTATTATTATACTTTATTTATTGTGTGTGTTAAGTACTACCATAGCACATGTGTGAAAGACAAAAGACAATGCAGGCTTCAGGTCGCTCCATCCACCTTGTGGGTTCCAGTGATTGAATTCAGGCCATTAGGCCTGATAGCAAGTGTTGTTACCTGCTAAGCCATATTACTGTCACCCTTAGAGTGACAGCCTAAAATTCCCCAGTGAGGGGCTGGGGGGTTGTGTCTTGTCCATAGAGTGTTTGCTGAGCATACTGGAGGCCTTGGATTCCATCCCCAGTCTCCAAAACCAACCAAACAAGTTAACACAGATGAATTTAATCAGAGTATCTCCATGCTTGCACTTCAAGACCATTTTCCCAGTGCTTGCTGCAAGGCATCTGCCTGAGTCTATTCCTTCAAAATTTGGGGGAGAGGAAGTAGAAGGCTGAAGTAAATAAATTTTTGGTGAGCCTGTAAGTCCCACTGGTCCCTGTGACAGCCAGAATGACAGGCTTCAAGAACTCGTTTCCCTTAGGAAATCAAGGTGACTGGGGAGCTGCTCGGCAACACATATCTGTAATTTTGGCAAACAGGAAACTGAGCCAAAGACCTTAGTGCATGCCAGTCTGGGCTACATGCTAAGCCTTTTTCACAGTTAAAGATGGTGGAGCACAGCCAGGCATGCTGGTACACACCTTTAATCTCATCACTCAGGAGACCAGACAGATAGATCTCTGTGAGTTTGAGGCCAGCCTGGTCTACAGAGAGAATTTCAGGACAGCTACATGGTAAGATCCTCCATGCCCCCCCCCCAGTAATAAAATAATAAAAAGAAAATGGTGAAGTATTCAGGGGGCAGAGACTGGGTCCTTAGGACAAGCTGGCTCCACGTGCACAAACCCCTGTGTATACTGTCGTCCTCCACACCCCTGCGCCATGCAAATATGCATGCTCAATGCACACACATAAACAGGAAGCAGAAGGGACAGATGAGGGTGTCTGATCAAACTGATCCCCATTGCCTCCACGAATTTTCCCCTGCCTGTCTGTGATATGGGTTCATTGATATAATAAGCCAGTTGTCCTCTTCTGGCTACTGATATGTGGTCCACTAATATGGATACCTGGATTTGGGCTCTGCATCCTCTCTAAGAAGTGGTTACATTCATTTGGAAGGCTCTAGAACAGTGGTTCTCAATCTCCTCTGGGGGTTGCGTGCCAGATATTTACATTATGATTTTTGACAGTAGCAAAATTATAATTATGAAGTAGTAACAAAATGATTTATGGCTAGGGGGTCATCACAACATGAGGGACTATATTAAACAGTTGCAGCATTAGGAAGATTGAGAACCACTGCTCTAAAAGAACATGTCACTGGGGTACTGGTGTCTTCTGGGTTGGGTTTTACAGAGAGTTCTTTTGCAAGAAAGCTCAGAGTGACTGGGAGCTAATCAGAAGTTCAGGATGCTGGGCAAACTGGAACTGCCCAGGAGAGCCTGGTCCAAATCCCTCCCAAGGTCCAAGCTGTGGGTTAAAGCAGGAACCCTCTGGAGTCTGACTCCCTCCTGGACCCCAAGCTCTGTTCAAGCAGAGGGGGCGGAAGATATGGCCCATGACTGAAAGCAAGAGGAAGGAAAGTATAACAGTCTGGAGTCCTTAGCTTTCTTGGTAACACACTGTTATGTAGCACAGGCTGGCCTTACCTCATAGCCTGGGATGACCTTGAACTTCTGATCCACCTGGCTCCACCCCAACTCCAATGCTGGGATGACAGGTGTCCCCGACCCACCTATGTGCTTGGCATGGAGCCTGAGGCTGTGTGCATGTGAGGGAAGCACTGTACCCTTGGTACCAACCTTCATTTGTTTGAACTAAACTGGTCTTATGTAGTGCAGGTGGACTAAACTTGCTGTGTAGATAAAGAGAATCCTGACTTCTGACTCTTCTGCCTCATCTCCCACGTGCTGGGACTACAGACATGCCCAACAATAACCTTGTTTTGGTTTTGGTTTTTCAAGACAGGGTTTCTCTGTGGAGCCCTGGCTGCCCTAGAACTCACTCTGTAGACCAGGCTGGCTCAAACTCACAGAGATCTGCCTGCCTCTCCTTCCCAAATGCTGGGATTAAAGGCATGTGCCACCACTGCCCAGCTAGACTCCATTTTTTAGGCTATCACTAGTAGTCCAGGCTGGCCTCAAACTCATGATCCTCCTGAGTCTTGACTGCTGTGATTCTAGGCCTAGGCCGCTGCATAGGTCTCTGCCTGGTTTCTGTTGTGCTGGGGATGGAACCCAGGACTTCAGGCGTGTTCCCTGAGCCACGGCACCAATTAATAGACAAGTGCTTTTTCAGGCCAGTTTTAGGTTCACAACAAAATTAAGTTGAAAAGTACAAAGCTTTGTAGTTTTGATTGTGGCTCCTGAGATATGCTATGCACAGCGTAGCACTAAAAAAAAAGGAAAAGAGGACAATTTTCTATCCCCACCCAACCCCACTAATCTTTGATACCAGAAGACAATGGGGAAATCTGGCACGGATCATAAGCCGAGCCACGCCCCCAACCCCTCATTGGGGAATTCTGGGCATTGGCTCCAGCCCTGAGCCAGACCCCCAACCCCTCATTGGGAGGTTCTGGGCAGAGTGCTAAACTGGGCTACCCTTCCAGGCCACAGTGGGTGGATTTAAGATTTATGTGTGAAATTTCACCTCCACATATTTCAATCTCATTCTAGGCCCCAGAATATCTCTGGTATAATTGCTAAGAGCTAAGCAATTTCTTTTTGGCCCCGGGTAGGCAACCTTTGATAGAGCCAGTACAGCCAGGGAGAGTGGGCTTCTCCAGATTCGCAGTGATTGAAGCCTGTCCTCTCTGCAGTGGAGAGGTTGAGGCAGGAGGATGGAAAATCAAAAGCTAGTCTGGATTCGAGTGAGACACTGTGTCAAAGTAAATAATACGATACACAGACCTGGAGCAGTGGGCTCAGCAGTTAGGAGTGCCAGCTGCTCTTACACAGGATCCAAGGTCCCGCACAACCACCTGTAACCCCGGCTCTTGGGGACTTGGCACCCTCTTCAGGCCTTGGCAGGCGCTGCACTCACACCGTTCATGGCCACACATGCATGCAAACACTCATACACAAAATAAATCTTTTAAAAGTAAAGATAATGAGTTGAGCCATTGTACTTCATAAACCCATCCCTCTGTCTTCTGACGTCCAGAGAAACTGAGGCTCACTGGGGACTCATGGCAGACACTTGGCCTCAAGCAGACGCAGTACTTTATATAGGACATAGTACTTGGAGACATAGTACTTTATATAGGAGGTGCTTGTGAAATGAAGCTAGAGCCTGTTTGTCATGGGTCATGCACTGAAATCTCAATCTCCTGCCTCATTCAGCTCTGTCTTAAGATGGTCCCAAAGGGCACAAAGACCCTGGAATAAGACTGCTCCTGACAGCTATTTTTAGAAGCACATGTGAGTGTCATTTTCTGTGGAGCAGGAGGAATGCTTGTCAGCTGAGGCTCGGTGGACTCACCAGCTGCTCCTGGGGATCACTTCTCAGGGGAAGTGTGCTTTAAATAGATCCAGGGTGGCTTGGGGGTGGGAGGGTTCTTTCCCCTCCCGTCCTCTTCCCTCCCCTTCTCTCTTCCTCATCCCTCTCCTTCCCCTCTTCTTCTCTTCCCCCACAAGGTACATTCCAGGGCACCTGACAAGGCTGCTTTTTCTTTTTGTGTGTTCTTTTGTTCATAAAATTTAAGTTTTAAATTATATTTATGTGTGTATGTAGGGGGATGACCTGCATACATGTTTGTAGTATGTAGGGGATGACCTGCATACATGTTTGTATGAGGGTGTAACTTGGAGATACAGATAGTTGTGAGCTGCTGTGTGGGTCCGCTTCCTCTTAACCACTGGGCCGTCTCTCCAGCCCCAGCCTTGAACTTCTGACTCTCTTGCTTGCTTCACCTCCTGTGTGCTGGGATGATAGGCCTGCATCACGCACACTGAGTTTATGTGCTGCTATGGACAGAGGCTAAGGCAAGTGTTCAACCCTTAGCTAAAATCTTTCTACCAACTCAGCACAGCCCAACTGTCCCTTTTAAAACCAAATTCTCCCAGGTCCTACCTCTAGCAGGCTAGCCTCAGCACCCCCACCTAATTACTGAGCACTACACCGAACTCTTGAAGGTCCCCCCACCTGTAACTCACACCTTGGGGACCAGTTTCCTGCGAACCTTGGGATCAGACCATGTCCAAACAGTAACAAGGACCTTAGGTGGTTTGAACACGGAGCTACTTGGCTGAGTGCTTGGTCCTAAGATTGTTCTCTGCTAAGTGACACTGGTCAGAAGAGGGCAGGGGCTCTGTATGGCAAGCAGTCACACCAGGAGACACCCATTAACAAAGACTGTGGAGAATTACAAATATTATCTTATTTACTTATTCATTTGTTTACTTGAGACAGGGTCTGTCTGTCCTACAATTGGCCCTGGCCGTCTTACAACTTGCTCTGTAGACCAGGCTGGCCTTGAACTCACAGATCTGCCTGCTGGGAGTAAAGGCATGCTAGGCTTCTTTTATTGCTTGTGTGAGTGCACGCGCGCACACACACACACACATACACACACAGGCACACACACACACACAGCAGGTATGAAAGTGCTTGTCAGCAAGTGCAACCTACAGGAATCAAGTCCCTGTTTCCACCACTGGGGGTCCTGGGACGGAGCTCAGCTTATCAGGCTTGGTAGCAAGTGCCTTTACCAGCTCAGGGGCCCCTGATGACATTTGCCGTGCCCTGACCGGGTCCTGAGATGGCTTCCTCTGTGGGTGCCGGCACGTCTGTGCTTGGTGGTACAGAGCTGGCTCAACATGCAGCTTGACCAGCTTCCACCTCAGCATCCGACGAGAACAAACATCCTGAATTTAATCTCCAGTGCCCAGCGGGCAGCATGTAAGCAGGTGTGGGTGTTCCTGGGATTCCAGTGATCCCCAGCATTCGTGTGCCCCCCCTAACCCCCCGCAGGAGCTGTGGAGCTGTCCCGGCACCACCCGGTGGCATCCTGGCTGTGCGCCATGTTACACTGTTTTGGGAGTTACATCCTGGCCGACCTGCTTCTTGGGGAGCCCATCATTGACTACTTCAGCAACAGCTCCAGTATCCTGCTGGCCTCTGGAGTGTGGTAAGCACTGGGAGGTGGGGAAGGGCAGAGCCTGGGATGGGGGAGGACCCCAACACCAGGGAGGAGGAAGTTTGAAGGAACCAAGGACCCTCAGTCACAGTCTGCCGCCATCCACCCTGCCCTCCTCATCTGCCTCTGGGCTAAGCACTGCAACCAGTAGAAGCCCCTCCCCCGGCCCTGGGCCTTCTCTGCATCTGTGCTAAGCTCCCGGTGTGCCCGCCTTTCCCTCTGATCCTAGCCCTTCTTTCCTCAAGGTACTTGATTTTCTTCTGTCCCTTGGACCTCTTCTACAAGTGTGTCTGCTTTCTGCCTGTAAAACTCATCTTTGTGGCTATGAAGGAGGTGGTGAGGGTCCGAAAGATTGCTGTGGGCATCCATCACGCACACCACCACTACCACCACGGGTGGTTCATCATGATCGCCACCGGGTGGGTCAAAGGTAAACAGAATTATGATAGGGAGGATAAAAAAAAATGTTACCACAGTGAGATGGCTCAGAGGGTAAAGGAGCTTGCAGCCAAAACCTGGTGACCTAATCTGATCCCTGGGACCCATAGAGTAAAGAACTGACTCCCTCAAGTTGTTCACTGACCACCACATGAGCACCATGGCACATGCCACCTACACACATCATACACAGTGACAACAACGTTAATAAAAATAGGGGCCAGCAAGATGGCTCAGTGGAGAAGGGCACTTGAGGCCGAGCCTGATGGCCTGAGTCTGATGCTCGGAACCCACATAGTAGAAGAGGCCCGGCTCTAGCAAGCTGTCCTCTGAGCTCCACATGCGTGTTCTGTGTGTGCATGCACATGGACACACTTCCCACCACCACAAAAAGTATAAATAAAATGAAACTCTTAAATTTTCCAGACAGAGTCTCCTTGCAGCCCTGGCTATCTTGGAACTCATTATGTAGACCAGGCTTGCCTCCAGCTCACAGAGATCCTCCTGCCTCTGCCTCCCGGTGCTGGGATTAAAGGTGTGCACTATCATACGTTCCACCCTTAGGCCCCATGAGTGGAAGGAGAGAACCACTCCAGCAGTTCCTCTGACCTCTGCATGCGTGCTATGGCATGCTAGCACCCCTACCCCATACATAAGAAAATAAAAAAAAAAAGCAATTATTAAATGCTTTAATAAATAAAGTAAAAATCCCAGTAGTTGACTGGCTGTTGTGGTGGGCTCCTGGTCCAGCACTTGAAACAATGAGGATTAGGAGTCCTGGGCCAGCCTGGGCAACACAGTGAGACTCACGACAGTCCCTTGTAGTAGGGACACATCCGATTGGTTCTTGCTGGTTTTGCCCTCACTGTGCCTGTGATGCTGAGGAAGAAGTTGTTTTGTGTTTTCCCATATGCAATGGCTGACCACCCCCTGCTCAGGGTCTCCTCAGGAGAAGGTCCTGTGTTCTCTTGGGAATGGAGGCTAGAAGAAAGGAGGGTGTGAGGGAGGCTGGCTGCCTCAGTGGTGCCCTGCCCTGCCCTGCAGGTTCTGGAGTTGCCCTCCTATCCAACCTGGAGCAGCTGCTTCGAGGTGTCTGGAAGCCGGAGACCAATGAGGTCTTACACATGTCCTTGTGAGTACCCACTGCTGACCTCCGCTCCACCGGCCTGGCCCTGCGTTATTGATCTAGAGATGCCACTGAGGTGGGGACAGGAATTGGTGGTATTTGATTGAGGTTTTGAAGAGTGAATAGGTCTTTTTCTGGCTACAAAAGACCCTCTACCCAGAGGCTAGAATCATGGCAGTTGTCAGGTTAGAAAACTGCAGGACCCAGGAGAGCACGTGAGTAGGGAGGCAGGAAGGGACAGGAGTGAGGGCCCCAAGCAGGCAGGCCCTGTGGCATGAAGGGCCGGGGGACATAGTGGGCAGGGCCACACAGCAACATTCACGACTCATGTAGGACCACTGCATGGGGCCGGATACATCTTTTTATCGATTTCATTTATTTTTTTTCTTTTCTCCATCTTCCTGTGTGTCTGTGTTGTGTGTGTGTGTGGGGCACATGTACATGTGTGTGCATGTACATACAGAAGCTGGGGTTATGCTTGGGACCACCATATTTTTTGAGGCAAGGTCTCTCAGTTAAACCCTGAGTTCCTCACATGCCCAGGCTTGCTACCCAGCTGGCTCTGAGCAAGCGCTTTAACCATGGACCCAGCTCCTTGGCCCCCATTTCTCTAGTGTTGGGAAAGTTGGAGAGCAGCCTGCAGGAGTCCCCAACCCCCGCTGTGCACCTTTACTCACCGTCCAGGGTTTCCATGGGGCTCAGTCTCACATGTCCTTAACCCTCTGGATGGTGACCTTAGCTGCCAGCATCTGCAGAGGTGAGTTGGTAGAGCCCACTGCACCCAAACCCATGCCCACCACATTCCTGTATGAGGTGACCGGTGGCCACCCACACTCTCTGCACCTAGTGGTTTGGTGGGTTTTCCAGTTCCTGTGGTACCACATGTGACTGACAGAAGCAATTCAGTGAGGAGAGACTTACACAGGCTCACAGTTTAGGGATACAGACCATCATAGTAGGGAAGGCATCGAAAACCCTGAGGCAGCAGCTCAGAGCAGGTACCTAGCAGAGAGAGAAATGTAGCTCAGATGGCTTCTCCTTCATGTTCAGTCCCGATGGTGCCCTGGGGCCACACAGTCATCAAGGGTTGTTCCACCTGGGTTCACCTAATCTACATAACCCCTCCCACATATGCCCAGAGATTTGCCTGTGGGTTGATTTTTTTTTTTTTTTTTGGTTTGGTTTGGTTTTTCTAGACAGGGTTTCTCTGTGTACCCCTGGCTGTCCTGGAACTCACTCTGTAGACCAGGCTGGCCTCGAACTCAGAAATCCACCTGCCTCTGCCTCCCAAGTGCTGGGATCAAGGGCGTGAGCCACCACTGCCTGGCGATTTTTTTTTTAAAGTAATTTATTTAACTTTATTTTATGTGTATTGGTGTGATGGTGTCAGACCCCTTGGAACTGGAGTTACATATAGCTGTGAGCTACTATGTGGGTTGGAGAATTGAATTTGGGTCCTTTGGAAGAGCTGACAGTGCTCTTAATCACTGAGCCATCTCTCCAGCCTCTGAGGGTTGATTTTTAGGTCCTGTCAAATTGACAAGATTCACCATTACGAATTCAGGCAAAGTGTCCCAAGTCTTTAATCCCAGCACTGGGAGGCAGAGGCAGGAGGATCTCTGTGATTTGCAGGCTAGCCTGAGCTACACTGTGGCTGTCTTAGAGGTAGGGGCATTGATTTACCTCAGGCTCCATCACCCACACTGTCTGCGTCTCTTCATCTCAACCAAGACATGGTGGGCATCTGGGGCTGGAGAGAAGGCTCAGAAGTTAAGAACACTGGCTGTTCTTCCAGAGGACCTGGGTGTGAGTCCCTGCACCCACATGCTGGCTCACAACCATTTGCAACCCCATTCATAGGGGATCCAGTGCTCTCTTCTAGCCTCCAAAGGCACTGCTTACATGTGGTTTACAGAGACACACGCAGCTAAAATACCCATATACATAAAATTAAATGAATGAATAAAAAAAGAAATGCTGGGCCCAAGAACCTGCCACCTTTAGAAGCCAGGTGTGGCAGCAAGCCTGCGCCTGGTCTCTTAGCTACTGTTGTCCCCATAAAACCACCGTGACCTAGCGTCCACGACCTAGCATTTGGGCTTCTGTCCCATAGGGCTGTGATGGTGAGGAGACTCCACAGCAAGCAGCAGGTATGGTGGCAGGGGCAGGGAGCTCAGGGCTTGAGCCATAAGCAAGAAAGGAAGAAGGGCAAGGCCTTTGATTCTCAAAGCCCCTGCCCCCAGCAGCACACTTCTTCAACTTCCCCAAGCAACATGGGACCAGAAGGGGGACATTCTCATTCAAACCACCACCACCACAACCAGGAAGGAAGAAACAGGGTTCCCCAGGGTTCATTGGTCACCCCACCTAGCAAAAATGGTAGATTTGAGGTCAAGTAAAAGACTTTGTCTCAAAAATAAGGTATGGGGCCTGGGAGACGGCTCAGTGGGTAAAGGAATTTGCTGTCAGACTGATACCTGAGGCCCTACATGGTCAAAGGAAAGAACCACTTCTTTTACCTAGGCCCCCTCACATATGTAGCAGATAAGCAGCTGGGCCCCCAACAACAGAAGTGGAGTGGGGGTTGTCCCTGCCTATGCTGCCTGCCTGTGGATCCTGGTCCTCTAACTGGGCTGTCTTGTCTGGCCTCAGTGAGAGAGGATGTGCCCAGTCCTGCAGCGCCCGGGTGTGGGGTGTTGGGGCGGGGAAGGGGTGTGTGTATGGGTGATACTTGGAGGGGGGCTCCCCCTTCTCAAAGGAGAAGGGGAGAGAGGACTGGGGGTTCTGTGTGAGGGGGTAATGAGAGGAAAGGGGAGCTGATACTGGGGTAAGTGAATAAATAAAAAATAAATGTTAAAAAAGGTAATTTTTAGGTTACTCAAACTTAACAGGAAATTAAAAAGAACCAACTGCCCCAAAGTTGCCTACATGAGTGCTAGAGAGAGAGGCTGAGATGCATGCTGGGTAGGAGCAGAAGAAGTGGGTGTGGCTGAGGAGGAACAGTAACTCATCTCTCAGTGACAGTGCCGATCCTTCTGTCAGAAGCAGTGAGCAGCACCAGGGACTCCAGAAGCAAGAGAAACAATTCATTTCATAACCTTGGGAAGCCAGGGTTCAGCCTAGATAAAAGGATAAAACTAATTTGGTCACAGACTTTTTATTTCCATGACTGTATGTCATCACCCTCTGAATTCCTCAGTGGCTGAGTTCTTCCCCCCAGCATAGTCTCCACCTAAGATTCTCCACCTTCCGCCGGCTTGAGATTGCCCATCCAGCTCGTTCTCAAGTGTGAGCTCAGACTGAACTTCTCAACCCAGTGTCAAGTAACATGCCGTCAGGCAAGCAGGACGGATCTGGTGCCTTCTGGTCGGTCAGCTGGGGCTCTGGTGAGCTTTACATGAAGCTCTGACTGAGTATGGACCATAGTGGTTTATATCTTACCCCCAGCCCCACCAAGGCCAGTCTGTATGGAGCCATCCTGTTCACCTTACAGCAGACCCGCTGGCTCCCGGTGTCCAAGGCCAGCCTCATTTTCGTCTTCACCATGTTTATGGTGTCATGTAAGGTAAGCCACCTTTGCTTGTGATCTTCACTTCCCTCGGTTGGGGCAGGGGTACTCAGACACTTCCAGGGGAGACATGGTCCATCTGAGATAGATGGAAAAAGATCATCAGGAAATCGAGGCAGGAGGTCCAAGGAGGTGGGGATAGGGTGGGAAGGAGGGGCTTCCAGGCACAGGCTGGGGGTGCCAGTGTGAGCAAGTAGGGAGACAGCAATCTGATCAAACCAGAAAGGAGTCTAGGGCTTTCCCTCTCCTTCCACAGGCCTGGGGAATGTTGTCTCCAGCTCCCCAAAATATAGAAAGCCCCTGCCTACAGATGGTCCATTCATAGAAGACCACAGCCTGCTGTGGAGGCTGAGGCAGGAGGATCCAAATAAGCTTGAGGCCAGCTTGGGCTACATAGTGAGTTCCAAACCAGCCAGGGTCACATAGTGACATTCTGTTTCAAAAATCTGGCCTCTGTGGCAAAAAAGTGAGCCCCCAGGGTCAGGAGTTCAAGGTTACATCCAGGGTCAGGAGTTCAAGGTTACATCCAGCTTTACAGCAAATTTGAAGCCAGCCTGAGCTACATATGACCGTGTCTCAAAACAACACAAACCAACAAAAAGCAAGCAAGCAAAAGCAAACAAGGAAGGAGAAAAAGGAGGGCACGAGAGAGAATGAATTTACTGTTCAGAGTTCTGGATGTGAGGCCCAAGGTAGCAGGGGTGGGTATGGTGGTAGCAGGGGTGGGGTACAGTGAAGGACTTCTTCAGGCTTCAGATGATTGATACCTTCTATGGCCAGACTTGGCTACATAGGGAGTGGGAGAGTAGCCTGGGCTACATGGTCCTGTCTCAACGACAACAAAGTGTAATCCTGAAGTCCAGACGTTGAGAGGTGCTGTTGGCATGGGTGACCATGGTCACAGCATCCCTAGACTGTCCAGGTGTGGACACTGGAAGTCATGCCTCTCCAGAGTCCAGGATGGGGGCTCGTGTACTTGGAGGTATGGGAAGCTGGACGGCTGGGGCTGGTTCAATCCCCCTCACTGTTCCTTCGCTCTCCCCTCTCTCACCATGTATCTCTTGGACTGCCCTCAGGTGTTCCTGACAGCCACACACTCCCACAGTTCTCCATTTGATGTCCTGGAGGGTTACATCTGCCCAGTGCTGTTCGGGGCAACTTGGGGAGGCGACCATCACCATGACAACCATGGAGCACCACATGGCATGGGGCTAGGCACCCAGCACTCTGGCCTGCCTGCCAAAGCCAAGGAAGAGCTGAGTGAAGGCTCCAGAAAGAAGAAGACCAAGAAAGCGGATTAGGGCTGGGCCCCAGGGATCCACTGGGTACTTGGGAGAAGGATGAGGACTCAGAGAAACTCAGAACTTAGGGGCATTCAGGGCTCAGACCTCCCCCTCCCTCCCCCTGCTCCCCACTACCCTCCATTCCCCATCTGCAATTTGGAGCCATCAGCAACTCCTAGCGCTGATGTGGGGTTAAATTAGTGTGGAGGAGTTCAATAGGCATGGATAACCCTGCCCTCTGCCAGACCCCTCATAAGGTCACAGCCTTTGGAGGCACACAATCCAGGCCCAAAGCCCTGGCTGGTAGGTTCTTGGTTTTCATTCTGTGTTCTAATTATATCTTGTAACCAAAAGAATTTAACGCCACATGGAGACTCAATTATCTGAGAGCCAGGTGCTGGGGTCCCATGTCCTTTCTCACTCAGGACCTCCCTAGAATTTTGTGACTCCTGCTGGGCATCTTTAGGCAAATGGCCTCTCTTCTCTGGGCCTCCTGTTTCTGATCTGTAGCAGGTCCTCTTGTGTACAGAAGGGTCTTTATCTGTCAAACAGTTTCTTAAGCAGTGTGGTGCTGAGGAGGAGGCTGGAGCTGTCATGAAGGACAGTGGCAAACTGCTCTGTATGTTAGGCCATTTGTGTTTGAGCCCAGAAGGTCTCACCAGACGCTCAGCTGAGCAGACACATCTAGGGCAGGCTGCTAACAGGAAGGGGGCCTTGAGTTCCTAGCTGCCCATAGGCAAGAGAAGTGTGCGTGCAGGGTGGAGGGTCCAAGTGCCGACAGCCTTGCGTGCTCACAATCGAGCTCTGGGTGCATCAGGTGTCCCTCCTGTCTGACCAGCAGAGTTCATTCAGTCATTCAACAAACACACAGATCCTCACATGCTCCCTGTACAGTGGTGTGCTGCTCCTCCAAGGATCGAGCCTTGTACAGGGGAAGGGCCATGGTTGCCAAAGTCTCCAGGACATCTGAGAGAGGTGAGCATTGGGTACTGCTGGTCTCAGGCTTATGTGAGGCTCAGATCTAGTAGGAGTACCCAGGGTTGCCCATTTGTTGAGAAAATGCTCCTTATAGCTTTGGCTAGAGATAGGGTGGTCCTGAGTCTGGAAGCTCCTGGGTTTCATCCCCTTGGTGTCAATCAAAGCTCTGTGTGAGTGATCAGCCAATAAATCTGGTGCGAGTAAAGCAAGCTTTTTTTTCTTTATTCAGCCTCAAAATGTGGAGATGCAGCAGAATGTTTTATAGATGGCCCAGGCCTCCAGGGGTAGGAGACGGGTCTGAATCCCAGGATGCAGGGTCAAGGAGGGTCTGACTTCTCCAGGACAGATGGGAAGGTGCATACCTGAAAGCTGGAAGCTGAAGCAGGAGGATCCGTTTCCAAGCCTCCCTGAGCTACCAGAGCTAAACCACTAAGAAAGAAAGGAAATGAGGAAGAAAGGAGAGAGAATTTGAGGAAGAAGTGGGAGGGGGGAGGGGAGGAAAGGGAGGGGAGGGAGAGAAGAGGGAAAGATGGGAGAGGAAGGGAGAGGTGATGGGGAGGGGAGAGGGAGAGGCTGCAGAGGGGAGAGGGGAAGAGGTGGGGAGGGAGAAACTCCTGCTGCCAGTCAGGATATCCACTTTCAGGAATGTGCTGCAAAGGGGACCTAGTGATCCTGGTTCCCCCACGTTCACCCCAGCTTTTCACAGTAGCTAAAATTTGGAGGCAGGAAGAAAGGCCATAAGCCCTTGACAGCGGATGGGTCTGATGTCTGGACTGCAAACTGCCTATAAACCTCAGTGGGTTCTGGCCTGGGAGCAGCTCCCAGAGCAGCTGGGAGGATTACAGGGAAGCCGCCTTTTGCCCTGGGTATCACGTATTCTGACTGGACAGACTGAATGGAAATAAAGAGCCTCCCAGCCTATTTTTGGAAGGAGGCGTGATAGCTGCCTGCTGGCCTGTGGTCAGGGCTCATGGCCAGGACAGGCTGCCATGGTGTCTGCAAACAGGTGCCAGAACTTTGACAGCCCGGTCTTAAGTTCAAGTTAATTTTAGCAGGACTGAAGTTTGGTTGCTTCTATTGTCTGATAATGAGAATAGGGTTCTTTATATTGTTTAAAAAATATGTCTAGCATTGGGGGAATAACTTAATGGTAGACCCCTTGCCTAGAATCCCTGGTGAGGGGGCTGGTGGTTCAGTGATTGAGCCCCTTCTGAGATTCCCTGGGGCATGGCTCAGGGGTGATCACTTGTCTAACGTGCAAGGCCCTAGGCGCCATCTATGCCACCATACACATACCAAAAAATAAAAAATATACATCCATACTGTGAAGCACACTGGCATCTGATTTGATTTTTGTTGTGTTTGTTTGTTTGTTTGTTTGTTTTGAGACAGTGTCTCACTATGTAGCCCCAGCTGGCCTGGAACTAAGACCAAGCTGGCTTTGAACTCACAAAAATACGACTCCCTATGCCTCCTGAGTACCGGGAGTAAAGGTGTGCAGCACCACTGTCTAGCCTCACTGTGTAGCTCTGGCTAACCTGAAACTCTGTAGACCAGCTGGCCACTCACCCAGCACACTGATGGCCAGACTCACCACCTCCATTTCCAGAACTCTCTTCCTTTTAAAGGGTGCGATGGAACCCTGGACCTTGGTATGCTCAGCTAGGGTTCCGCAGCAGAGCCGTGCCCTCTACAGCTCCCTCCATGAAGAGAAATGAAGCTGTCACCCCACGTCTCTGCCCTTTCTACCTTATTCACATTTGGCAGCTCCAGCGACGTCCCAGAGCTTATAGTATTTCCCCCACTGCCCTATTTCTCTTGGTTGAAGGTCCTCCAAGTTCATCTGTCTTTTTTTTTTTTTTTTTTTTGCCCAGGTTGGCTCCAATTTGTAGTGGACCTGCCACTGCCTCCAAGGGCTGGGACAACAGGTGTGCACTCCGATTCACTTTAAAGGGACACAGGAGGATATGGCTCAGCACCAGCCCCACACCTGGCACACAGTCCGCAGCTCCTCTCCCGGTTCCAGGCCCCCACCCAGCAACACCGCACATGTGGGCGGGAGTCTACACACGCATTTCACAGCCGGCTTCTGCCTGGAGGCGGTTGGGAAAAGTCCCAGCTCAATTAGCAAAGGAAACTAACATCTAATTGAGCTGGTGGAAGCTAGAAGAGAGGTCAAGGGAAGGTCAAACGCTGGATGTCAGTGAGTCCTTTCGGGCAGCCTGGGTTCGCTCAGAGCCGGGAGTGAGCTGCTGGATGAACTCCTAGGCAAAGGAAAATACTGAAACAGGGAGAGACTCTACAAACACACACCCAATCTGGCTCCCAAGTCTGGGGTGCTGCCTGCCAAGCATAGGATGGGCTGAGTTCTATTCTCAGGGCCACTGAGCACAGATACCCCATCACATATCTAGTATATATCGAGCCCAGCTTCTGTTCTCACCTCAACAAACACACATGGCTTCTCACTTTTGTCTGTAAATAAAGTATTACTGGCACACAGCCCCTGACTGTACCTCCTCTGTTAACACAACAGGTTCCAAACATTTGAATTTCCTGAACAGTTGAAAATGTAGATTATCTATCTTGTCCTTTTTAGAAAGGAGTTGACAACTCCTAGACTAGATGGTTGGATGGTGTGTGTGTGTGTGCGCGCTCGCGCGCGCGTGAACCATTTCTAACTCCAGATCTGAGGGATCTGGTGCCCTCTTCTGGCCTCCTCAGGTATTGCATGCATATGAAGCACAGATACATGCAGGCAAAATATACATAAAATAAAAATGAATAAATCCAGATATCTTTTAAAAGATTGTTTTTCTTTCTTAAAAATAAAATAAAAAAATGTATATGGGTGCTTTTGCCTGCATGTGTATCTGTGCACCATGTGTATGCAGGAGACCAGGAAAAGGCATCCCTGGAATTAGAATTATAGACAGATGAGAACTGCCATGCAGGTTCTGGGAATCAGACCCAGGTCCTCTGCAAGAGCAGCCAGTGTGTTCTTAATCATCAAGCCACCCTTAAAGCCCCTCTTTCCCCTCCTTTTCTTGGATTTCTAGGACTAAAATTTAGGGACTCATACATGTTAATCAGGTACACCGCACACCTGCATCCCAACTCTCTTCTTGCTTTCAGTTTGGATGCATCCTCTTGCTAAGTAGCCTGTCTTTGAATTCTTGTTTGTTTGTTTGTTTGTTTGTTTTTGTTTTTCGAGACAGGGTTTCTCTGTGTAGCCCTGGCTGTCCTGGAACTCACTCTGTTGACCAGTCTGGCCTCGAACTCAGAAATCCACCTGCCTCTGCCTCCCAAGTGCTGGGATTAAAGGCGTGCACCACCACCGCCCGGCGAATTCTTTTTTTTTTTTTTAATTTAAGATTTATTTGTCGTATATGAGTACACTGTCTTCAGACACACCAGAAGAGGGCATCAGATCCCATTACAGATGATTGTGAGCCACCATGTGGTTGCTGGGAATTGAACTCAGGACCTCTGGAAGAGCAGTCAGTGCTCTTAACCACTGAGCCATCTCTCCAGCCTCTGTCTTTGAATTCTTTTTTTTTTTTTTTTTTTTTTTTTGGTTTTTCGAGACAGGGTTTCTCTGCATAGCCCTGGCTGTCCTGGAACTCACTTGGTAGACCAGGCTGGCCTCGAACTCAGAAATCCGCCTGCCTCTGCCTCCCAAGTGCTGGGATTAAAGGCGTGCGCCACCACCGCCCGGCCTGTCTTTGAATTCTTTAAAAGGTTTTTTTGATTTAAAAAGTTGTATGTGTGGTTGTGAGATGTGTAGTACGTGCGTGTACCTGTGTGTCCAGAGGAAGATGTGAGTGTCCTCTATCTCTTTCTCTTATATTCCCATGACATAGTATCACTGAACATGAAGCCAGTGTTTTGTCCTAGCAGTGAGGCTGGTTACGGCTGCAGCCCGGATAGTAAGAGATCTTAGAGAATCCTCATGTTTCCTTAGTGTGACAAGGAGATCGCAATATTTTGAAGAATTTCCTATTTTTTAATTCTATTTATTGAAAATAGATTTTTCTTCCCTCACTCAATATACCCTGATCACCATTTCCCCTCCCTCTGTTCCTCCCAGTTCCTCCCATCCAGATCCATTCCTTTTCTGTTTCTCATTAAAAAGCAAACAGGTGTGGGGCTGGAGAGATGGCTCAGCGGTTAAGAACACTGTCTGCCCTTCCAGAGGTCCTGAGTTCAATCCCCAGCAACTACATGGTGGCTCACAACCATCTGTAAGGGGATCTGATATTCTCTTCTGGCATACAGGTGTACATGTAGATAGAACACTCATATACATAAAATAAAAATAAATAAATCTTAAAACAAACAGGTATTTAAGGGATAATAATAATAAAAAACCAGTCAACAGAAGAAAAAGAGCCCAAGATAAGCACAAGAATCAGAGACCTGGGCTGGAGAGATGGCTCAGCGGTTAAGAGCATTGACTGCTCTTCCAGAGGTCCTGTGTTCAATTTCCAGCAACCACGTTTTGGCTCGCAACCATCTGTAATGGGATCCGATGCCCTCTTCTAGTGTGTCTGAAGACAGCAACAGTGTACTCACATCCATGAAATAAATAAATAAATCTTAAAAAAAAAAAAGAACCAGAGACCCACACTTTAGCTACACTTAGGAATCCTATACAAACACTAAACTGGAAACCATCATAGAAGCACAGGGGACCTGTGCAGACACATGCAGGCTCTGCGAGTTCCTGTGAGCCTTGTGAATGTTCATTCAGAGGGCCTCGTTCTCTGGTGTCTTCCACCATCCCCTCTTCCATCCTCCTCTTCCACAGGGTTCCCTGAGCTCTGCATAATGTCTTTTGTGGTCTCTGTATTGTTCCTGTCTGCTGCAGGAGGAGCTTCTCTGATGACAGCTGAACAGAGCACTGGCCTAGTCTAGCAGGTATCATTAGGAGTCATTTTATTGCTACTTCTTTTTTTAAAGACCAGGGTAAAACCAAATACTACTAGACATTATGCAATGAGCAAGAGACCTTGGAACATTCACCCTAAAATAGGATGTCCACAAACTCAGGTTCTTGGTCACTCAAACAGTGTCAGTTATGGGTTCCATCTTGTGCATGGGTTTAAGTCAAATCAGACATTGGTTGGTTTCTCCTACAAGCGTTGTGAGACCCTTGCTTTAGTATGCCTTATAGGCAGGACACCATTGTAGATCAAAGGTTGGTGTC